AGATAACTCCAATTTTGCTTGTGAAATGAACATTTTACAACTTTTATTCAATCATTTTCTGTTTATGTTTCAGATATTAACAATTTAATAAATTATGTATATTTATTGACAACTCATCCTACATAAAATCCAAGGGATACAGGCCCAAAGGTCCCTGTGTATAAACACATTGGCCATCCACCCACTGGATATATGGGATAAGTTACCAAGAAATAAACATTTTGTAAAATTTCAGAATATGATATGGATTCATATAGGAAAATGTAGTTATTATTATCTATTATTGGAGTTGATTCTCTTCAAATTTATTTAACAAAGCATTATAGAATATTCATGTAACTATGAAATAGTTAGAACAGGTTATAGAATAGTACACTCATAAATTCCATCCAGTCCAGTCGAATACCAGAGATGTTGTGAAGATAGATATACACCAGTATCAATACTTATTAGCAGAGTGATCATGACACTATAAATAATAGCATCACTTTTAATGTAAAGTTTTGCTGTGAGTGAGATTACATATCAAGCCTATTAGTTTGAGAAATGTGGTCAGATATACATTGTAAAATGAATATGTTGATATCAGCGCTACATACATGTATTAAGCACCCATTTAATAGAGTTTTTAGATTAAAATGCTCATGATTACCAGTTATACCAAATTGAGAAATGTTTTGTACTAATTGCATTCTAATGTTGTTATAGGGTGGACATTCATATATAAAATTAAATGCATTTTCATTTTCATGTCCACATCTACATGCTGGTGTGTCATTCAGATGATCGATATATAAGTCACTATTTAGGTTGCTAGCATGATTTTTCAGCTGGCAAATTATGATATTGAATTTTCTTGGCCCATAGTAGTTAAATGTGCTAGCAATTTCTTCAGTGTTGTTCATATTTTCAGACTTGATGACATTTTTAAATTGTTGAATGGAAGTAGCATTTAAAGTTTCTGCAGATAGAAGGTTAAATTCTCTACACATTGAGGGAAAATAACTATTGAAATCATTCTCAGTTCTACAGAAAGGGGGATTGAAAATACGGCTATTTCTTAGTGGGTAACTTACATTTATATTGCTGTGAAAGTATGGTTCAATGATGTCTTCTAGGTACTTAGGCGATTCATTATTTAAAATTGTGAACATAAGTACTAATTTATGATTGTTTTGCCTACAACAAAGTGATTCAAGTCCAGTTTTTGCATAAAGCTTACAATGAGAAGTCCCTCTACGCAATCCTGTAATAATTCTTAATGCCTCTAGCTGGATTGACTCAAGAATATTTTTATTTTGGCTACTACAGTTATCCCATACTACATCCCCATATTCAAGTATTGGTCTAATAAAAGAGGTATATATTGTTGTAAGACTTTTTCTATCCAATTTGTGTTTTAACATTCTCAATATATTCATTCTTTTATAAGCTAGCTCATAAATATTGTCAATATGATATATCCATTTTCCATCACTACTAAAAGTAAAACCAAGATGCTTATGAGTTTGTTTATTACTTACAGTTACATTACCAAATAAGATATCTGGATGATTTTGTTCTCTTTTCCTCGAGAAGATTACAGATTCAGTTTTTAGTGAATTAAATTGCATATCGCATTTTTTTGCCCATGCATTAATATAGCCTAGATCATTATATAATTTCACTGCAATTTCATTTTGATTGTTGTCTATTACTTCATAGAGAGAAGTATCATCTGATAAAAAGTTTTATTTTACTTGTTACACATTCTGTTAATTCATTGATATAGATTAAGAAAAGAAATGGACCAAGGACCGAGCCTTGGGGAACACCGGCTTTGACATGTGTGTGAAAGTGACGATTTGTTTCAAAAATATCAGTTTGAAGTGCGCTCCGGGCGCGGGTCGCATATTTCCCGCATATTATAGAGGGCCGGAGTTCTGACGTTAATCGACGACAGACCGATATGAAAAAAGTCGATAAACGTCAGAATAATTCGGACTTAACTGTACAGTAAGGTAACAGGGTAATCGAGACTCAACTGTACAGTCAGGTAATATGGTAATCGAGGTTCAACTGTACAGTAAGGTGACAGGGCAATCGAGGCTCAACTGTACAGTAAGGTGACGGGGTAATCGAGGCTCAACTGTACAGTAAGGTGACAGGACAATCGAGGCTCAATTCTACAGTAAGGTAACAGGGTAATCGAGGCTCAACTGTACAGTAAGGTGACAGGGTAATCGAGGCTAACTGTACAGTCAGGTGATATGATAATCGAGGCTCAACTGTACAGTAAGGTGACAGGGCAATTGAGGCTCAACTGTACAGTAATGTGACAGGGCAATCGAGGCTCCACTGTATATTACGGTGACTGGGTAATAGAGGCTCTACTGAACATAAAGATGAGTGGGTACAACTTGATGAAAACGGGGATTTATCTCTCTGGTACTGCTCTCAACACATACGACTTCACGTGGCTTTTTTAACGAGTTTCTATGTTTAGCGACCTCCCTGAGTGCAAAGGTGTGCCGCACACACGTTACTCTTCGCAAATTCGGCGGCGTAATACCATTTCAGACATTCAAAACGTTTGTTGGGGTCGATTTTTCGATATTAAGAGCTTTAATTCTTCTTGCATATACCGTCTTTGAGGTGGTAGTTTACTGAGTGTTGATCTTACCCCTTGAAACATCTAATATAACTCTCTAAACGTCAGGATAGATTCCATTATACCTAATTTAACAAATAGTCGTCTCCATGTGGTAGCTTCCCTTCAGAGCATAATGTTGCATACCTTCGGGCACAAGCTACAATATTCAACATACATATACCCTAATGGCGGCGCTCTAGTGAAAGCTTCCCCAATAGAATAAAATATTTCGACATCAAATTTGAATACATTGTTAAATCGAGATTGCAAACTTTGGTGGCCTATTCCGCAATCTGTCATATCTCAGAGATATATGCAAGCGTGGGGACTTTGATCAATATAGGGGGTGCAGCGACTAAACACAAAAAATACTTATGATGATAATCAAAGAAATATAATATAGTTTCAATTAATAGAAGCTGGGACGACTTACGAGGACAGTTTTAAGAACAACCTTGGGAGAACAAGAGAATGAGCCGAGTAAAGCGGTGGTAGGTGAGCCGCTTACCCATTGTATCATGGATGACAATAACATTCACAAAGAGATCACCGTGGTCTGGGGTAAATTCTGAATCACTTGCAACTCTTTTTTGTGCTCTTTTGAATTGTGGCTGGCAACTGGGCACAGTAAAGTTTATACTGCGATATTTTCACAGCGTCCCAAAATGATTGAGTTTAAACTATGCGCCAATAAAAAAAAGTTTGATAGCGATTGTATTGCGAATTTAAACAAGTGCACTCTCTACCATAAGATAATGATATATTCAGGTGTTTTAACCTGACTATGCTGCTAACCTTTTCAATTTTCAAGAGATAGTTGTTATATATTCCAACTTTGAGATAAACTGCCAGCTTGACTTATAAATTTCACCTCGAGTGTTGACGTGTTTCAGTTTCAGTGTGTTAAGTAAACGCATCAATTATCTAGAAGTTTTACGATAAGTATAGGAGTTTCCTCCCTTGTCACACGTTTCAAGTAGGTAGGTTTACTTTCCCTTTCGGATTTCCAAGCATGCTCTTTGAGTTCAACACTGTCTAATTCCTATATTATATGTCGGCTTACAAGTGTATAGCTATTGGGGTGGTGACATATACCTGTACATAGGCATGAATGTTCTTGTGATCACTGGACCGTATCATACTGTCTAAATGTAATAATTGAATATAGGTCAGCAATATCGCCCTCGCATCAATAAGGTTCATTATAATAACAATGTAGTAAACATGCTGTATATATATATATATATAATGATAAAAAGGGATTAAATGTCCATGTGAAGGAAGAAAATATAGAAAAAATAAGATTAACGACCGACTAAAAAACTAGCTGCTTTCACCCTTCACAGGGCTCTTCAGGTTTTTTCAGTAGAACCTGAAGAGCCCTGTGAAGGGTGAAAGCAGCTAGTTTTTTAGTCGGTCGTTAATCTTATTTTTTCTATATATATATATATTTATATGTAGGATGTTTCGGAACCTTGATAGCATGTATTCATGGAATGTTCGGAATGTTAATGTGAATTTCAATATTTCTAAATACTTGTTTGTATTTGTATTTCAGCTTTCTACCTTCCCCAGGGAAGTTTGTAATTTGAGGAAAATTAGGTGTTTTTGAAGAAAAACAAAGGTGTTGAACATTACAAGTGTAGATATCATAGACATGTCTCCTGTGAAATTACTGTTGTCAATAATTACTTTGTTTTTTGTTTGTGTGTCATACGCCTCGCAACAGCCAGGGTAATCGGAAGACTGGTGACAATCATTAATCATTATGACAACCAAAACAACATGCACATATATATTGACTTACAAGGAACAAACTTTTTTGCAACAACGTATACATATGTGCATATAAAGGCCGTTTACAAATGACGCAATAGTTCCTGATGTGGTGGGTTGTATACATATAAGTAACGTGATACCCCATTCATAGCTGGGGATTACCTGTAGGCCGGTGACGCTAGATAAAATATAGCACTGTTGGATTCAGAGACCAGACGACTTCTATATATCAGATTAAGAGGTTGCAGAAAGCACCATGCTGAAGCTTGTTTGTGTGATGCTACTGCTGGCGACAGCGGGTGGTTCTCATCGTGTGGTCCGAAAAGCTGTAGATCAACCAAGCGAGGGCAGTTGTAAGGAGTTCAATTTCGGAGGTGACTCCGGGCTTCACTGGTACAGTTGCTGTAACAATTGTATCAACGGCCGACCCGTGAACAACTGTGACAAGATAACATGGCAGTCAGCATCAACCGCATCATATTGTGGATCATGTGGTACTGATACTCAAAGAGGAAAAGGAAATATGAGGGGAACTCAGTTTAAATGTGGTGGGTGTAGTCGGCAAAAAATAATTAGAAAGGANTTGAAGGCCAATCTCACTCTTTCAAAGCTTTAACCTCACTAGAGCGCTATCTGCATGCTTTTAACCATGAAGTTGCTTAAGCTTGTAAGCTTTTACAAAACATCACTGACCCACTTGATTATGATACCACTCATCAGTCATGCAAATGTCAATCGTGCCTTCTATCTTAAAATGCCGGTATGGTTATGGTACATCATGACCAAAATGTAAATTTGTGATTATAACTCATTACTATGCTGAAAGCTAATTATAGTCTTCTTTCTTCTTTATATCTTGGCCATGAACCCTTGCATCCAGAAACAGGAAGGGCTTTCCTTGGATTTGGGAAAGATAAAACATACTATCCAAATATTCTTCGATACAGTAAGTATAACAATTACATGTACATTATAGTGTTTATAAATATGTACAGTGTATATGTTTTTATTTCAGTAACTATTTTTCCAAAATCTCATAGTGTTAGAATCTAATTTCAAGCAACACATTTTTTTATCCCTTTAAAAGGCTTTTGGTAGGAATTTGTTTTTAATAAAAATTACACTAGAGTTATAATAGCTCTTTAAAGTTGGCCAAATATGGATTTAATATCATGTTGTGTTGCTTTGCCAGAACTTGTCACTGTCAAATTAATGCAGATCAATCACAAAAAGAAACATGAAATTTAATGACTTGTTATAATAATACAGAACTAAATATTTAGTATGAGTTAAATGATTTGTTATTATAGTCCCATCAATATATGCAGAAAGCACCATGCTGGAGCCTGTTATTGTGATACTACTGCTGGCGACAGCAGATGGTTCTCATCGTGTGGTCCGAAAAGCAGGAGATCAACCAAGCGAAGGCAGTTGTATGGAGTTCAATTTCGGCGGTGACTCCGGGGTTCACTGGTACAATTGCTGTAACAATTGTATCAACGGCCGACCTGTGGACGACTGTGACCAGATAACATGGCAGTCAGTATCAACCACATCATATTGCGGATCATGTGGTAGTGATACTCAAAGAGGAAATGGAAATATGAGGGGAACTCAGTTTAAATGTGGTGGGTGTAGTCGGCAAAAAATAATTAGAAAGGAATGCTCGTCGTTCTGGAAGGAAATCCCAGGATTCTGTTGGGTGTTTTCAAAGTGTTTCCAGGAAACGTGCCAAAAGACACATAGTATTGTGAAAAGGTCTGTAATTACAAATCAGACACCTGACACATGTTACAACAATGTGTGTGACGCAGGGGAGACACCGGACAATTGTCCAACTGACTGCTGCTATAAGAGGAACCCTTCATGTGCATGGAACAACACGTGTGTATCACCTTGCTGTGGTGAAATAGGATGTTGTGGCACGTCAGTTAGTCCCAGAAACTTGGCTGAAACAGACCCAATCTTAGAATTAAGCAGTTACCTTTTCTATGTGTGTATATTAGTATTTTTGATTAGAATCTTAAAATTAAGCAGTTACCCTTTCTATGTGTGTATATTAGTATTTTTGATTATAACTATTCGCCATCTATTTAAAAAAAAAAAGTACTTTATTTCTATTAGGCAAAAAATATAATTCTCCTGTGTTATTTGTTTAAAAGGCGGTTGAAATATACATGATCTCGTAGAACCTGACGTTGATCCATGCATTCATATAAATGTTTACATTTGCTCTGCATTGCCACTGTATAACACCACCAAGGCCAGTTCCGTGATATGAGACCATAACACAGGCGTACTGATATATATGACACCGGTTTAAACTGGTTCATCGCGGGTCCGACTAACTTCGGGTCGCTATTCCCCTCCGCTGTAGCAAGCAGAAAAGCCAAAACAAACCCACTATGATTCAATAATATTCAACGTTTTATGCAAGACTCTTATCAAATGTAAATTGAATATCTTGATTGATTAAAATTTGAAATGGTATAGATATTATTATGTTTATTTCCACGAACTATACTTTTTACAGGGAAAGTCTTGAGACAACATGCCGTGAACAACTCCATGGTTTGTTCTACCTGTTGGACAAACACCGCAAAATTCAAATCTAAAAATAAAAGTGCATTGTGAATATTTTATTTTAATGAAAAATGTAATGTTAGCATTAAACAGAATTCTGTTACGTGTTATGGTCCTATAACACGGAATAGGATTGCAGATAAATAATCACAACACGCTAATGCGTAAATTCGTTTTGGAATCAGCCGCCATATGTTAAGAAATACCTCACAAAATGATGTATTCCACTTAAAACTATTTTTAATATGTTTTTATCGACATATATTTTTTCAACCACCTGGAAAATAGTCAAAGCTATGCCACTGTTTAAAACAGGTGACAGGCATTCTCCTTCTAAATAGGCTTATAGGCAAAATTCACATTCTTCTACTGCTGAAAAAGTTTTTTGAGCGAGTAATCTTCAAATACCTACATAAATATTTATTTTAAATATCATTGTTTTATAAACACCAATCTGGTGTTATGTATAACCATCCTACTGTATATCAGTTTATTGAAATTTATCACAAAATTTGTATTGCTGCTCTTGAGAAAAAACACATGTATGTATGGTATTCTGTGATATTTCTAAGGCTTGATCGGGTTTGGCATAAAGGTGATGTTAAACCCGTACGGATCTTGCGTGGAACTATATACCTGGTTAGAAAATTATTTATTTCATAGGCACCGGAAAGTTTCTTAAACCATTCTTATTCTTTTTGTGGATGATACCTCTTTATCAAAGTCTTCTTCATCGTGTCTTGAAATTTTAAACAGTTTTACTTTTATTCTCTTTTATATCTTCCATTCGTCGCAGCTGGAACCCCTTAGATCTATCAGTAAGATCGTTGCCTACCATTTTATATAAAAACTTTCGTTACCTTAAATGCACAACCATCCCTTTCTGTCTACTTCAGTTTTGGAGCGGAAGTTGAAAATTATACATACCAAGTTGAGGCACAAATATAGTTCACCTAAATATGATCTTTACAGAGTGAATCTTGTCGAAAATCCGGTTTGCAACTGAGGACATCCAACTGAGAATACATTTCACTTTGTTTGGAGTGTCAACGTTTTGGCAGTGTACTGTAGACTAGTACATATAAAATATAAGAATTGATATTGTCACTGTAGTTGTATAGTATGTCACTAACAGCCAACAAGTGTGATTTATTGGCTCTAAGACAGTTGCCAGTATCTGTCAATTGCAAGAGCAAGACGTTTCTAGGAATGCGGTGATGGTTTGGGAAGAGAGATGACTAAAGCTAGAAGGCTAGATGTGTACTGCAAATTCATAATAATCATGGCAATTTATTTTATATGTATATTCTTTGTGATATTTTCATTTAACAAGTTTTTTATGTATTTGTGTCCTTTTACATCATTGCTCTAAAAAGTGATTAAAACTCCGATTTTCAAATGTAACACGTGCTTCACATATATATAAATATTAACATGATATTTAATACTAACGATCATAAGCATATTGATACTCATTGTGCTGGGTGTTTTCGGCATGGCATTTCAGTGAGGTTGCAATCTATATCGGCATCAGTTCTGTTCTATTGCAAGGAGGCAAGTATACGCACAAACGACCGCCCCCAGCACACGCGCATCAATACATACACGGGGCATGTCCCTAAATGACATGACGCTTAACCCAACCCAACCAAATCCAATCCTGGTTTAGTTCAAACATATTTTATTGCCAAAAGTTTAGCAAAAGGATTGGGCACAAGTTAAAAAAACATTATCATCGCCCTTTCCTTAAATTTTAATAAAACATATATGTACATCATAAGATGGCTAAATATCAATATATATATAACATTATTATAATTGAATAATTGAATAAAAAAGAGGTAGCGAGAGAGCTAAATAATATTAGCATTTAACAATTTGAAACAAATATTTACTGATACATTTATGTCCACCCATATGCTTACACAACCACACACCCGTACTTTTGCACCCACTCCTACACGCATAATACACTGTAGCAGTATACATGTACAACAATTGTAATGAATCCTTCCCAGCACCGACAGCACAAGTGTTGCTTATTTAGCACCATTCATCACTTTCACTTTTCTATTGTTTATCACATTCCGTGCCATGTTGTCGTTCTCCTGTTACTTTCAAGGTACATCCTCCTAAATTCGTTTCCAATGTGCCGTCCGCGTCGGGAAGGGTCCATCACATGACTGAACATATGTATGTAATTAGAAGTTGAATAATTACACACAACCTCGCACGCACTCTCACGATCAGACATATTTATATATTGTATAATGTCTTGCACATGGGTAAAAATGCGAGATACTTTCATACATATATTTACTGGTAAGCTACATAAGTTAGGAGAAGAGGGGGTTGGATCAGAAGAAGGATTGGAGAAGAGACTATCGTTAGGAAGACGTGACCTATTTGAACTTGCGAGTACTCGACACAAATTGCTGGACATGCATGAATATTCTTCATTTTCATCACTCGAGTTGTTTTCGCTACCATATAAAAGTTTCTCTAGACTCAAAGGCAAATACTTATGAAGATTTCTAAACATTCGTAGTCGTTGAAGAAGTGGTTTGAGTTTTCAAATGAGTATCCGCATGCACAATTAGAAGAGTTAATTAATTTAGCGTTGAAGAGATCATCGTTTGGAGTACTACATTTCTGTCTAAGTCTGGTTGTTAGAATGTTTAGTTTGCGGTCACCAACTAGATGCAAATCTGGTCCATTGAGTGTTTTATTTCGTTTCTTTCGAATATCTTTAAAAATATTAAAGGAACGTGCATTTTTCTAGGTGGCATCAAGGTCATTCCATAATCTTACAGTAGAAGGTATGGAAGAACTGTTGGATAGTTGTAATCGGTTCCATTTATTTGGAATGGTATAGTTACAGAGTGTCTCAAGTTATATGGGGTAACAGTAGATATCAGAGGTGGAACGATGTCTTTTAAGTAAGATAGGGTCATATTATTTTGTATTTTATACAAAAAAAAGATGAAGCTTACGGCGAGTGCGTCTTTCAGACAGAGTTTCCCAACCTGTTTCAAAATACAACGACTCTCTACTAGCAAAGAATGGTAAACACATGACAATACGCGCAACTTCTAATTGTATTTTTTCCAATTAACATGCATCGGCGATAGAGCAACCATCCCATACCTCCAGACAATATTCCAGAAGAAGTAAGATAAAGGTTAGACAAATCCTATTCAATGTTTTACGATTAAGAGTTATTTTAATTTGTGACGCATACACTGTACGTATTTGTTTCTTAACACTTTTACAAATCCTATCGATGTGATGTGACCATTTACAGTTCGCATCTAAATAAATGCCTAGATGTTTATGGTGGTCTATAAAATCTATATAAACATTATTAAAACTAAGTTGATGTCTAATTCTTCATTGGTATTTGAAATTAGTAATGATGCCAGCTGTCTGCCGATGTTTTAATATTTTCATTATAAGTGGCGGTTTCAAGTTCATTTGCGGAAAAAGCAGAGACAGAAAGTGAAGTATCATCAACGAATAAGCGGGACAGACTAACAAGTTTGTCGGTAATATCGTTGATATATAGAAAAAAAAGTAAAGGGCCCAGAACAGAACCCTGCGTTACACCAGCATTAGTTGTTTTGGAATTAGAAGTAGCATTGTGGTTAAAAACCTGTTGATGGCGATTGCTTACGTAATCAGATAACCAGTTTATACGATTTTCAGAAATACTATAGCTTTTCAGTTTATGTACAAGGCATACATGCCATACTCTTTCAAAAGCTTTTGAAATATCACAGAAAATTAATAAGTATGTTTATTACTTTTGAGATCATTGCATACAGTGCGATACATTTCAATAAGCTGAATTACCGTTGAGTGCCCTGGCTGGAATCCAGACTGGTATTTATATAGCAATGAAATATCTAATAAATAATGAAGGTATTTAGTAATGACCTTTTCAAAATATTTGCCAACAGTGCTTAACAGAGATATGGGGCCTATAGTACCTGGGGAATTGCTTGACTAAAGTTGTTTTCCAAGAATGTGGATATATCCCTAAGTCAAATGATTTTCTGAGTATATGACATAATGGGCATGAAACCATATGAGCATATGATGGCTAAGTTTGTCATGTCCAATTGCTTTACCTATACTGAGTGATTTAAGAATGTCAACGATACCCGATTATGTAAATTCTAAATTATCATTTCTACTCTCTGTCCGCAGATTCAGTTCTGAATGGTGACGCTATTGCGGTTTTCAAAATGTGATGAAGTATTCAAGGAAAGTTTATGTTACATTTTAATCTTTAGCTAGAGTAGTACACTGTATGTACATGTGTATATACCAATAATTTGCATAGCTAGAGTTGCACTGGCACGGGTTACCATGTCGGATGCTTGAAGCCAGGCCACCATATTGTTCCCTTTATATGTATATGTCATATTAATAAAAGCGGTAGAAAAACCGTATAGAAACACCTAAGTTCAAGGGGAAACTAGAGTAAGGGTTGGATACACCGATAATTAGCAAGGCTAGAGTTTAAATATGCTACCCTCAGTTCTACATTTGTTAGAGACTTTGATTGCAACGAATTCATGTCGACATGAAATAAAACACCTGTCATTGCTTTTTAATATTTTATATCATATAGTCTATGTTGCGTTTTTTGTTTGTTTTTGTTTTTGTTAAAAATGACGTGTTAGCCCGGGCTTTTTTGCTAGTCTCCATAGGTTGTTACGCGCCTGTTTTTCGTTTTTGTTTCAATAGAACTACCATAGCTTCAGGAAAATTCACTGAAAAAGTATACAAATTAAAGTACGAATGAAATATACAAGAAAACTAGTATGCCTATTAGTTTTAAATTAGCACGAAACTGTCGCCACGAACACGTAGTAACTTTCTATTTTATTCTTAACAAAATAGGGGCAATATGTCAAGTAGCTGTGTGCACAGGGACCTTAACTACACGGTGTTCAGAGTAATTTTACATGTTTTAGGGGTTTAGATCGACTTTCGGTAACAAAAAAAAAGTGGGGTGTCATTTTTACCGAAAGTCTATATAAACCCCTAAAACATGAAAAATAGCTGTAACAAATTCTCAGGTACCTGTGGCTGTGTGTGGTGTTGCGACTCTACTTACGAAAAAACATTTATGGAGACAGTGGGCAGAGATGTAACAAAATATAGCAGTTGTTCTGGTGATTACTAATCTTTGACCAAGACTTTCAAGTCCTTTATAATATATGCAGGGCCGCCATGTTTCGCATCTGAAAATGTTGCATTTTTTTAAAAATTCGGAATGACATATATATAAATATCCTATACCGTGTTCCGGATCATACTATTGTTGCAGTCAATGCAAGCGCCTCAGCGACTTGGTTCGTGTGCTAGCTGTCGGTGAAAATGATGGCCGAATATGCTATTGGTGCAACGCTTACTGCTGTTTTTCATCCTGTAGGATTTTCAAGATTTCTTATACAGGTAAAATATGTTATTAAGAAGACATTAAATGAAACCAAGATTCCTTATTTGTCATGCACTACCTAAAAAACCGTGCGGTACAAAGGCTGAACTCCATCTTGAGGGCGGATGGAAACGTGTCCTTGGAAAAACATTTCCTGATTGTAGTAAATTGCTGTTTTTATGAAGTTTATCAAATATATTGTTGATACATATAGATATATATGTATCCACTACAGAATGACAAATGATAAAGGGCAACTGATCATGACTAGTCGGACATGTGTCACATGTACATGTAGCTCGGGTTCAAAACCAGTAATTACCGTTGATTAATGCAGTATTGACTGAAAACGAAAGTACAAATAAATGCAACTCATAAAATTGCCATAAAAAATGACAGATATAAACAACCATTTGTGAGATTATAATGTCAGCATTTACTTGTTCCTATATTGTATGATTTAAATAGGGTGTGCTGGACATACAAAAACATACAGCATATATATTGTATAGCCAGAGTTTCATCTGGCCACGGAATTAGATTTATTAGATGTTATTTAAGTCTGTGATCTGGCCCTAACACCAGACTTAGACATTTTGACAGGTATAGATGTCTGCTGGTGTGGGACATCTATCTGTCAAAATGTCTAAGTCTGGTGTTAGGGCCAGAGGAAAATCTGGCTAAATAGCATCTTGTTGAGAGAATTTCCAGTGATAAAAAGGTTTTAGTTTACTGTAATATATAATGTACAGTTTAGTATGAAGTAATCGAAGCCAATAGAAAGCTATAAAAGCCTCTGCAGGCACATTTTAATCCTTTTATCTTAATACTAATTTTGCTTTACAACAAAATCTAGAATTAATGAACTGTTATATATAGCAATTCAAGTCACAAATAATAACTTGAAAGTATTTCTTGAAACAAATTTACAAATTAGAATAATATAATAGAATTGTTCCAGATAAAAAAAGAGAGAGAGAAAATATATGCACAGCTGTCAACGCTCACAATAGGAAGATGAGTCTCTTCGGTCTTGTGCTAAAAATCTTAGTACTACCTCATGCATTAATGAAGTTCCATACTATTAAAAATTGTTGCAAACACTGTCTGACAGTTTAAAGCTATGTGTAAGGCCACTACACACTGAGCAATTTGACCATACTTGAAGCCAGTCGAAAACACATGCTGGGTGATCAGCCAGACATAACGGCACACTCTTTCCCTTCTTGTTCAAGAAAGCATGACTGCAGCATGCATATATGACCGGCTTTCCATTGCAATTAATTGAGTGTCAGACACTGTGAACATTTTCCGAATTTGCATATACCCCAACATTAACGTTGATCTACTATACAAACATGCAATTATGATTTTTGTACAAAAACAAATGTATAGTACAGATACATTTGTATGTGTATATATTTTTTTACTGTCTATAGCTTTTTTTTATGAAACTTATGTACTATTTCTTTTTATTTTTATTATATTTTCAACATGAGTACATGAAAAGAAAAAGATTTTGAAATGACAATCTTGACTTCAATCAGTAATGACTACTAATGGAAAAAATATGTTGATGAAGAATATTGAAATAATTTATACTTCTTTTTCCAATTAAAGTGCAAGCCCTTGAAGGTATTCTCGCGCTGGTTTATGTCATGAAACAATGTTAAATGATTACACTGTCAAAACCTCACCATCGTGAAGGCCAATCTCACTCTTTCAAAGCTTTAACCTTACTATAGCGCTATCTGCTTTTAACCATGAAGTTGCTTAAGCTTGTAAGCTTTTACAAAACATCACTAACCCACTTGATTATGATACCACTCATCAGTCATGCAAATGTCAATTGTGCCTTCTATCTTAAAATGCCGGTATGGTTATGGTACATCATGACCAAAATGTAAATTTGTGATTATAACACATTACTATGCTGAAAGCTAATTATAGTCTTCTTTCTTCTTTATAGCTTGGCCATGAACCCTTGCATCCAGAAACAGGAAGGGCTTTCCTTGGATTTGGGAAAGATAAAACATACTATCCAAATATTCTTCGATACAGTAAGTATATAACAACTACATGTACAGTATAGTGTTTATAAATATGTACAGTGTATATATGTTTTTATTTCAGTAACTATTTTTCCAAAATCTCATAGTGTTAGAATCAAATTTCAAGCAACACATTTTTTCATCCCTTTAAAAGTCTTTTGGTACGTAAGGAAAAATGATTAATAAAAATCACACTAGAGTTATAATAACTCTTTAAAGTTGGCCAAATATGGATTATCATGTTGTGTTACTTTGCCAGAACTTGTCACTGTCAAATTAATATGCAGATCCATCACAAAAGAAACATGAAATTTAATGACTTGTTATAATAATACAGAACTAAATATTTATTATGAGTTAAATGATTTGTTATTATAGTCCTATCAATATATAGACAATTGAATTGTTATGATTCTGAAGCAATATTACTATGATTCCTATAAGTGTAGTAACACATTATAATAGTTAATAACGATACAACAAGAAATATTGTCACATACCGGTATAATGCTTATTATAAACACATGATATGGTCGATAAATACTTATGTGTCTGTGATGTTTCAATGGGATGAACATGTATTATATGTTAGGTATCCATATCAATATATAGTGTTCACACTACTGTGTGCATATTTATATTGTGATAAAATATTGTTTTTATTAAAAGTATAATTAAGCTTTCGGTGATGGTAATAATGAATTTTGTATTTCCATTTCAGTGGGCCACATCAGACAAAAAGAAGGATTCCTAGGGTTGTACAGAGGCCTTGTACCAAGGATATTGGGAGGCTTTGTCGGCAACTTCACCACTACAGCAACTAACAATGTACCTATGTTAAAACATTAACATTCTAAAAATAGATATTCAAGGTCTTGGTGTGTCATTATTTCTGTAAAAAAAAGTGGTAAGACATGGTTGCATCCTCATTACTCCAGGGGTTGAGTTCACCTTCGCTCACTGCACCCCTGGAATATGTCACAGCAAAGTCGAAGGCTCAGTGTGCACCACCTTGTTGATTAGACAAGAAGACTGGTTCGATCCTTTGATGTACATCAAAACAACATTATGGACGTGTAATGGTAAAAATCGACAGGCTTTGAAGTCAGGTGTTGCTCCTCTGTGATCTCCAAAGGACAAGTTTTAGCCAGGCAATTGGTCATTTATTTTACTTGAAACCAATAAAACAGCTATCTTTTTGCCTTCAATTTTGCTGTGAATTCCAGGGGTGCATAGAGCGTAAGTGAGGGTAACCCCATGGTTGTAGCATTTTGAGTTTGAGGAAAGATGCCACTGAAACATATCATCCTTTTTTGAATTATCTCGCTTCCAAATCTTGGCAAGAATCAGTCTAGATTAACATTAAGATCTGTAGATTTTTGTTTGGAAAACAGCAGCTTTTTCATACCTTTGGAAACTTTTGTCAAAAGAACTCGGCATAATGATTTCTAGATCTATATTTGTCAAACCATTTATTAAGTGTAAAATACTTGTACATGTACTGCTATTCTAATATTTATTAGGGCCCCATTTCGGAGATACGGGTGCCCTATAGTAATCACTTTGTCTCTGTCTGTCTGTCTGTCCGTCCACAAATTTTGTTCCTGGCTGATAACTTTGGTATTTATTGACCGATGTACATGAAATTTGGTCAAGATGTTCAGTTCACAAAAATACACATTGAGGTAAAAAGTCAAGGTCAAGGTCATTAGGTTCAAAGGTCAATGTCAAATTTTACATCTTTTCACTTATGAACATTTTGTTATGACATTATGGAGCAAAATTGATCAGAATTAAACAAGGAGTCAAGTTACCAAAGGTCAAGGTCATCGGGTCAGGGGTCAAGGTCAAATTTTGTAGCTTTTCACTGGTGAACATTTCACTATGACATTATGAAGCAAAGTTGTTCGGAATTAAACAAAGAGACACACTGAGGTAAAAAGTTGAGGTCAAAGGTCAAGGTCATTAGATTCAAAGGTCAAGGTCAAATTTGGCATATTTTCACTGATGAACATTTTGTTATGACATGATGAAGCAAAGTTGATCAGAATTAAACAAGGAGTCAACTGATCAAAGGTCAAGGTCATTGGGTCAAAGGTCAAGGTTAAATTTTGTATCTTTTCACTGGTGAACATTTCGCTATGACACTTTGAAGCAATGTTGCTCAGAATTAAACAAGGAGTCAATTGACCAAAGGTCAAGGTCACTGGGTCAAAGGTGAAGGTTAAATTTTGTACCTTTTCCCTGATGAACATTTTGTTATGACATTATGAAGCAATGTTGTTCAGAACTTAACACAGAGTCAACTGACCTTAGGTCCAGGTTACGGGGTCCAAAGGGTCAAGGTCAAGTTTTGTATTTTTCACTGATGAACATTTTGTTATGATATTAAGAAGCAAAGTTGGTCGGAATTAAAGAATAAGTCAACTGACCAAAGATCAGGGTCACTGGGTTAATGGTCAAGGTCATTTGGGTCCAAAGGTCAAAGACAAAGTGGATCTCTGACTTTGACCCTGGCTCTTGATGGAGGAGGTATTAAAGGTGAAATAAAACAAATCAAAGCTAACAAATGAGTATTGCACCGGTATTTACATTTCTGTTAGCCCAGCAAATATGGAGGTGGAAGGAAACAAGACTCACATCATAGTACATGTAAAATGTATATTTTGCTTCCTTGCGATTCTTTTTGAAGTCCAAACGTCAAGCTCAGCTATATGGGCAGATTGCTTCTTGATGATTATGGGGGATATATTGCCACAAGACGGGGCCCTTACTGACCTGTCAGTGTTCTAGTTTATTTCTACATCTGGTAACTATGAACAAAAGGAGGAGACCTTGGTTGGGATACATGTAGATGTTTTACTGGAATATTAAACCAAACTCAAGTGGAATAGTATGTGAATAAACTGCTATAAAGTATTGTGATTATATGTTTCAGTATCTCAAGGGTGTTGGGATCAGCGAAGATGAGACGGAGAAAGCTGTCGGCAACAGCTCTGATGAGCTGGTAGGATGGTTAAAGACATTCTTTTTACAGGTAAGAATATTTGTATCCATGTTTAGGTCTTCTTTATAATTTGTTATATAATTTGTTATATAAATATTTCATACCAAATTTTTTTCGCTTCATTGTGGTATCATTTTAAGACATATATATATTATTTAACTTTAAGTTTGAACGGCAGCAAAACTTTCTTAAAACTTGTAACATTTATCTTTTGATGGGATATAACATTTATCTGTTGATGGGATATTAAAAGGTGTGACTATATGCAGGTTTAATTTACATCTTGTTTCATGGCGTTAGTTGTATGTCTGTTACCTGTTAACTTTGTAGACGTCAAAGGAAACAGTGGGACGCTGTGTAGGGATTATAGTTAGCCAACCATTTCATGGTAAGTATGACTGGCACAGCTGGTGTGTTATTATCACTGTGGCTGTTCTGTAAAATCAATAATTTGGTATACTTCTTTCAAATGAAAACAGAAATACATGACCTTTTGTATAGTGTTTTGTATTTGAAATAATTATCCTATTTAAGTCTATAAACAAAAAAAACTCTTCAAATTGGATCTTTATGTACCCCTGTAGCTTTGCAGAGAGAGTTTTGTACAAAGAAGGGCAGTGAGGAGGCTTAATGTATTACAGTAAATAATAAGTCTACCTCCAGTTGTCATAATAATTAACCCAGACATTTAGATTACTCCAAAAAACTGGGATACTTCCTGTTAGTGGGATACTTCATGTAACTGGGATACTCCTTGTTACTTGGATACCTCATGTTAGTGGGATACTTCTTGTTACTGGGATACTCCATGTTACTGGGATACTTCATGTAACTGGGATACTCCATGTTACTTGGATACTTCATGTCACTGGGATACTCCATGTAACTGGGATACTCCATGTTACTGGGATACTTCATGTCACTGGGATACTCCATGTTACTGGGATACTTCCTGTTACTGGGATACTCCATGTTCCTGGGATAGTCCCATGTTAATAGGATACTTCCTGTTACTGGGATACTCCATGTTAATGGGATACTCCATGTAACTGGGAATGGGAAACTTCATAGTACTGGGATACTTCCTGTTACTGGGATACTTCTTGATACTAGGATACTTCCTGTTACTGGGATACTTCCTGTTACGTGGATACTTCCTGTTACGTGGATACTTCCTGTTACTGGGATACTTCCTGTTACTGGGATACTTCATGATACTAGGATACTTCCTTTTACTGGGATATTTCCTGTTACATAGGACAATTCCTGTTACTGGGATACTTCATATTACTGGGATATTTCCTGTTACTGTGATACTTCATGATACTAGGATACTTCCTGTTACTGGGATTCTTCATGATACTAGGATACTTCCTGTTACTGGGAGACTTCCTGTTCCTGGGAGACTCCATGTTACTGGGATATTTCCTGTTACTGGGATACTTCATGATACTAGGATACTTCCTGTTACTGGGATACTTTCTGTTACTGGGATATTTCCTGTTACTGGGATACTTCATGATACTAGGATACTTCCTGTTACTGGGATATTTCCTGTTACATAGGATAATTCCTGTTACTGGGATACTTCCTGTTACTGGGATATTTCCTTTTGCTGGGATACTTCCTGTTACTGGGATACTTCCTGTTACTGGGATACTTCATATTACTGGGATATTTCCTGTTACTGGGATACTTCATGTTACTGGGATACTTCCTGTTACTGGGATACTTCCTGTTACATGGGATACTTCCTGTTACTGGGATAATTCCTGTTAGAAAATATGTTTATTGTGTAAAATATTATCTTAAAGTTGTTGTGTATAGATCAAAAGTCTTTGTAATGTTACATATATTATGATTAATTGCAGTGATAATGTTGAGGTGCCAAGCACAGTTTATTGGTGGAGAAACCGTATACAAGTGAGTCAAGATGCACATTATTTTTTTTTAAATCGAAAAAAAACATATCAGTATAAGAAAGAAGTACTTTTCATTTAAAGAATCCATTGATTATGTTTGAGAAACAGAAAACAAGTGAGTCAAGTTGCACATTTAAAAAAAAAATGAAACAAAAAAAACATATCAATATTAGAAGTTCTTTTCATTAAAGCAATCCCATTGATTATGTTTTTGATTGTCAAACAAACTCATTTCAAACTTTTAAATATGTACCTTGCTATTCTTTTCCCAGCTCATTGTGGTCCTCTATGGTAGAAATTTACAACAACGACGGTGTCCTGGGATTCTTTGGGTAGGTTTCCAATGAGCTTATTGTGATTTATTGGTAAATTACTCAATTTGTAAAGAAACTAAAATCTTGAAACTAAGTTTTGAAAAAGCATCTTTAAATAGAATCAACCATCATGATTGCAAATATTAATTACATATATATAAATAGCAAAGCCAGGAGTCTTAATTCTTTCATCATTTTTTTTTTTTTTTATGATAATAAAGGTGTGTTTAACATTTCAGAGGACTTATACCCAGGCTAGTAGGGGAGGTTATCACCATTTTCCTGACAAACTTTTTGGCCAACATGATCAACAAACACTTCCTTGAAGATAAGGTAAATTCATACATATATATGGTTTAAATAGTAAAGGTCTATCCCAGTATAATTTAAAGAAGATTATAAAATATAAACTTTAAACTTTATTTATTTTACAACAATCATGAAACAAGTTATTTCAACTTATATTTATCGATCTTGTTGGCCGGCCGAATGTTAGTGTGCGGGGGGGGTCTTAATATTGGGAGGAAACCGGAGTACCCGGGGAAAACCCCACATGATCAGGCAGGTCACCCCATGCCTTTTAACGTCTGATCGAGGAATCAAACCCCGGCCGCCTTAGTGAATTGCAAGTGCGCCATCCACTGTGCCACCCGACCATATACACAAAAAAAAAAGATTAACAGTCAGTCCTTCAGTAATAAATGTTTAATTCATGTCAGATATCAACTACAATGTCAGTGCCTTAGGCGAATGATTTAACTACATGGACATTTAATATTGTATATATATATTTGATGATATTGCTTTAAGTATTGTGTCCTATGACACTTGTCCATGTTTTGATTGATTCCTGCCTTTTTGTATTTAATTATTCATCGATCGCTCTATATACCTTTTGGTATCCATTCTCAAGCGAAGTGCCCCACTGAACAACCCACTAACTTTCAGATTCACGCTGGCTCTACTTTCCTGTTTAATCTATTAGTATTGTATGTATTTTAATTACATATCATTAGCATCATGTGTATAGATAAATCAATGTTTACATATGTATGTGTTTGTTACTTTGTTTACAGGAGATGAGGACCTACACCTCTAGTGCGTGTGGAGTAAGTAGTATTATAATTATTGAAACATTATCGGTGCATTTTATTTCTCAGAAGTGAAGCTTTTGGTCATGAAGTAACTTTTTATGTTGAATGCTGACATCAATAATGTCCTTCTTCATAACAGTATTAAAAGTGGTCTAAATTGTTCACATGTATAACAAATATTGATGTATCCTAATACTAGAAAATGCTTGTCATCATCTCAAGGTAATAGGATTGTGTCGCCATTTCTCAGTAGAATTTCTTCAAATTTTGTAGTTATATTGCTTTGAAGTTAAGAACATTTTCTGCCACAAAAAAATATAGGTTGTCAAAATTTTAAGGATTTTAAATGGAAATTTATGTAAAAAAGAGTGAATTTAAAAAAAAATGAAACACATTTTTTTGCAAAATAATGTCAATAAAAATGATACTGACATATAAATTAGTATTGCATTAATGTATATCAGTTTTATAAATGCTGAAATTGTGTAAAATTAATTATCTATAAACGATTAAAAATTGACATTTTATAATAAAACCATATACGCATAGAAATTGCATGTAAGAGTTATCGTTCTTGAAAAACTTAACAGTAGTGAAATAGGTAGCCGGTTTCCTGAAGTACAGACAAAAATGGACACATGTGACTCGATCATTGATTAAAAAAACCCTGAATTAATGCCTGGATTGCTTTGAAATACTTAAATATTGAAAGAACACACTGTTCTGTCAATAAACAACATACAATATTCATCAGTTTAATATTATAAACATTAGAATATGTGGAAATTGTGATACTGTCTCCCTACATTGGGTTTTCAACTAGGGATGTACTTCCTATTTCCGCTTAGCAATACACTCCTATGACCTTAACAAAATCCAAGATTATTTTAATCCATTAAAAAGTTTTCTCTGTATTTTTTTCTGCTATCCATGAGTATATCAAAATAAACAGTTACTGACTATTTATTGCCTTATTTTAATGACGCTCGAAAAAAATGCTTTCCTGAGCAAGACCAGATTTGCTTCAGGTTTAGAAACCTTCCACATCTCAATCAACCGCATAACATAATAAAACTCATTTAATATGTTAAGTTAAGTGCTCTTGAATATTTGTATTTGACTGTTTTTCATTCCAGCTTGTCATTGGGACATTCACATATCGGTTCTCCTTGGTCGGCAACTTAATGGCTGTAAACAACACTGGGTAAGTATGGAGGTCCAACTTGATCTAATAAACACTGTTGTATCTTAGGAAGAATTACTGTAAAAGTCAAAAGTTTTAAGGCATCATACATTTAATTTTTATTATGTTGTTAATCAATTTCTTCATATTTTTGTCTCTCAATTTGATCAATGTATATAATATTTATACACATATACAGAGGGAACTTCATTAGGGAAGAATAGTATGTCCACAAATTACAATCCATGACATTAAGGCTGTGTAATATACCCTGTCTGACAACAGATTATAACGAGGAAGAGGAAATGATTCACTGGTGACAGTTTCCTAGTCTACAGTCCTAAAGCAGGATATATATTCTTCTGGCCCAATATAGTGGGCCCATTTCTATCTGCTCTGTGCCCACCATTCATTTATACCCCATTTTAAAAGGCAATGTTTCCTTGTAAATTTTATCTACATACAGTATGTTGAATTACACATCTCATATAGCAATACTGACACCAAGCAGTGTATGAATACATTGATAGTTGATATACTACATTGTAAGTCATCGTAGCGCGACAATGAATACAGGAAAGGAAATTGTTGATATTTTATATCTCTATATGCAACCAATGGCCAGGCCCCATGGCTTGGCACCCAGAGGACCCTGTTAAATGCAATTACCTATCTAGTTCTTCTCAAGTATTGTTAAGGTTTTTCAGCAATTTTTTAATTTTTTTTTGCATACTGTGACAGTAATAAATTTGTATGACTATTCTATCTCCACAGACTCGTGGCAGCCAAGTATCCATACATGTTAGCCTACAGTAACTGGTATGAGTGCTGGGGACATCTCAGCAAAGAGGTGCGTACATTTATAATCTGTGTTCACTTTCTTAACTCATTCACCCCTGAAAACACATTTGAACTCTCCCAATGCAAAAGTTTGAATAGTCCATTATGAAATTTCAGGGGTGAATGAATTAATATAATGAAAATCATCAAGTTTAAACATGCAGGTATTTGTGTTAACTTTAATGTTATCTTTTACTAACTTATTTGATTCATTCAATTATATCATGATCATTTTTCTATCAGCATAGAGACATGAAAACCTCATATCACAGGTTAACATCATCATCTTTATCCCTATCAGATATATTCTTGCCGTTATATATAGGTAACTATAAATTAGATAGTCAATATTCAAAAATAAATTTTCTGATTTTATATTTACTTAAACATTGTATAATATGTAAGGCTTTATTTATTTACAGCGCATGCTTGGAAGAGGATCTCGCCTGTTTAATCGTATTTTTACACCCAGGCATTACGTAGCACTAGACTAAGTGTGAGGACACAGTACTCTTATACTTTGCTTCCACTCGGCCAACCAAAACAAACGACATAGACATTAACGGCAGAGCCCATAAAATCTCACCAATATCATTCTTGTGTCCTCTGGGGCAGTTAGTGACACCATTACTGCAAAAGGAGCTCAAGTGCCATCGTTGGACATATATTTTATGTATTTCATATGGCAGATGTTATTTATACAAAATCAGGTTATGATATAAGTATACTACTGTGTGTATGGAACTTCAGTTACTGCAGTATAAAGCAGGTTGTCATTAAAATTTTACAATAACCTAAATTTAGTTGTCATGTATATAATAATGTTGAAGAATTGATCATCAAGCACCTCGCTGAGATATATCTCAAAACAAAATTTATATTTTTAAGTTCAGTTTTCTTAAAGTTAGCTTTATGATTCTGTTTGTTATTAAATTCACTCAAATTTTGTTCATTCAATTATATTAAGTTTGAAGTACATCTTCAATTCAACATACCAAATAATGTTTTATGTCTCAAGATTTCCAATCACCTAATTTCAATACTGATAACAAAGCTATAAGATATTGATAGTTTAAACTTCAAAAGTTTAGTTTTGAGTCCCCAATGCCTTCTGTGGGGGTGGGGAGGACTATAGGCTATATATAGGTTTTGCACTCTGTCCCTAAACTCCATCCACCCAAAGAGTTCGTCCCGAGCATATTTTCTATACTGTACCACCTGGAGTAGCCAGATTTTGTATGCAAGTACATGTTGAGATGGCCAACGGCAGAATACAAGAAGTACCCGTCACTGACCTGTGCTTTAACCTTTCCAAGTGCTGGGCATATCTTCTATACTATTTTACCTTGCTATGCAAATACATCTTCTTTGGATGGTGGAGTAACTATAAGGAGCATAAGAAGTAGGTCACTGTGACATAATGGTATGACCTTTGACCTCAACCTTTGAAAACTTGTTTGTCCATTTCGTTTTATTATGTCCAGATAATAGTAACATACGAATGTTCAGTATAAACAGGTGGTAGTTATACATGTAATAATTACATACAAGTGTTCAGCATAAACAGGTGGTAGTTATGCCCAGATAATAGTTCCATACAAGTTGCATGTTCAGTATAAACAGGTGGTAGTTATGCCTAAATAATACATACAAGTGTTAAGCATAAACAGTGGTAGTTATGCCCAGATAATAGTTACTTACAAGTGTTCAGTATAAACAGGTGGTAGTTATGCCCAAATAATGCTTATTTACAAGTGTTCAGTATAAACAGGTAGCAGTTATGCCAAGATACTAGTTACACACAAGTGTTCAGTATAAACAGATGGTAGTTATGCCCAAATAATGCTTATTTTCAAGTGTTCAGTATAAACAGGTGGTAGTTATGCCCAAATAATGCTTATTTACAAGTGTTCAGTATAAACAGGTGGTAGTTATGCCCAAATAATTCTTATTTACACTATAAGTGTACGGATTATATTCGCAGATCAGTGAAGTAAAGCAACATTTTACAAGTTAATTGAATTAAGCTCACCCATCCTATTTCCCAGAAAAAAAGAGGGTTAGCGCTTAAGGGGCATGTGCGCTTATTAGGTCGAATACGGTTACATTTAGGGCCAAGTTTTTCTGAGATAATTAGAAGTTACAGCTAGGACATGATCATTGAAGTGAGACAGGTGGTTTAATGTTAGATATAGTCATTATATTAATTACAAAAGCCTTAAAGGAGTGTTTTGATATTCATGAAACTTCCCACAAATACTTATAGTACATATTTGTATCGTTACCCATTCAAGTTCGATTTTGACCCAGATCTGAAATTTGATATGGCTGAGCTAGTGGCCATCTTGGATTTGATTTCAGCATCTGAGGTGGCTTCTGTGAAATAAATCTTGATGTAAATATGTGTTTTCATTTCATATGAGATTTAAGAAACTTGTCACCAAGACTGAATGTTAAATTTGGCCCGCCAAACATAGGCTTTCTTACTGGTGTTTTAAAAATACACGTTCTATTGAGTATCATGCCTGTAATGATTTATCAAAAAATAAAAACCATCATATATCAAATATTCCTTTCAATTATTATCACATTGAAATAGTAATCATGAGTATTTACATAGAAGTTAATATAAGATAAATACATTTTATAATAGACATAATATTGTGAATGAAACAAAGACATGTGCAAACTCAAACATTTCTTTTAAAATGCGTTGATTATACAATGAAAACAACATTTTTACTGGTCAGTTGCAATATTTTTCTTGAAAACAACATGCACTAACACTTTTGTTTTTGATTTTTTTTTTTAATATTAGAAAGTCGAAATTCCGTATTTTTGACTCGTTTTCCATTTCGAAAACTATGTAAGCCATCATTGCCGCCATAGGATTAAAGCGCATAGGTGATCACATTCTGACACATTTTTACCCGCTATATTTCATTTAGTAAATAGAAACATGAAGTTGGTTGTCTACAACGAAATCGTTGATCTTATGCGGAAGTACAAAACAAGAGACGAAGCTCTACGCCACATAACTCCACGGTATCCAGAAGTTTCGGTTGGTGCTCTCGGTAGTATTTATGCACAAGATTATCAAAAGAAAATGCGTAAAACACACCATTTGCATTACAGCCCGGACACAACAGAGTATTACTACGATAGGTACAGGGCAGGCGTGGACAGTGGTCAAAAGCACGTGATATTGTCAATTGCAAGAAATATAGACCTAGCACCATCCCTCTTATCAAGAATGATTCTGGAAAGACATTTGTCACGGACAAAGTACGGTGGCGAAAATCCGCCACGTAGCCAGGTAACACAGCTGATGAAAGACACGACACTGATAGAAAACCATGTCCTGGCCAACGAGATTCACGAGTGTATCCTATCCGACGATCAGTATGGTCCACTAGTGGACAAAATAAAACACTCCATCGGCCACGAGTACGAGTTTAAACTGAATAGTACGTTGGATTCCCTACAACTGTCATACATAGGCGAGGACCAGATGAGGGCTAAAGGTTATGACAAGACTCCAGATGTGAAGTTGGAAGTTCCCATTGCCGTTGATGGACACATGGTCAACTGGATAGAGAGCAAAGCATCATTTGGTGATGAGTACAGTCACAGGTCCTATCTGAAGGACCAATTCTGGAGCTACTGGAATCGATTTGGCCCCGGGATGGTCATTTATTGGTTTGGGTTTATTGATGAACTTGATTCAAATACAGAGAAAGGAATTATTTTAAGAGACAGTTTCCCTGAAAACATTGTAAGATTGAACCCTGTTGTGAAATTAAAATGAAAATTAACCTTGAAAGTTATTCTTTTTTATTTGTCTCTGCAGGGAAATAACAATCTAAGTATAATGTGTAGTAATATCCTACTAGTAATATTTTTTTCTTCTCTTCCAGGGGTCAAATATGTTCATCAATTTAAACAATATCCTAAGAACCATTTGAACTAGAGTCATGATACTTGGGTATGTTATGTAGACCAGCAGTGCAAATATGTTTAAAGGTCAACATGGGTTAAAAGCTTTAACAATCTTCTTTTCAAGTTCCATAAGGCCCAGGGTCATGCTATTTGGCCAGTAGGTTCCTCGGATGGAGTGTTATAAAGTTTCCTCATTTAAATGACCTCGACATACTTTCAAGGTCACAGGAGTCAACAATGTTAAAAACTACTAACGACGATATCCTAAGAATCATTTGGTCTAGAGTCATGATACTTGGGTATGTTATGCAGACCAACAGTGCGATTTGTTTTCTTAATTACAGTAATGAGGTCAAAGGTCAACTTTAAGTGCTAGTCAGGGGTCAAATGTAAACATGGGTTAAAAGCTTGAAACAATCTTCTTTTCAAGTTCCATAAGGCCCAGGGTCATGCTATTTGGCCAGTAGGTTCCTAGGATGGAGCGTTATAAAGTTTCCTTATTTAAATGACCTCAACCTACTTTCAAGGTCACAGGAGTCAACAATGTTAAAAACTACAAACGACTATATCCTAAGAAGCATTTGGTCTAGAGTCATGATACTTGGGTATGTTATGCAGACCAACAGTGCGATTTTTTTTCTTAATTACAGTAATGATCAGGTCAAAGGTCAACTTTAAGTGATAGTCAGGGGTCAAATGTAAACATGGGTTAAAAGCTTTTACAATCTTCATTTCAAATTCCATAAGGCCCAGGGTCATGCTATTTGGCCAGTAGGTTCCTAGGATGGAGCGTTATAAAGTTTCCTCATTTAAATGACCTCAACCTACTTTCAAGGTTACAGGAGTCAACAATGTTAAAAACTACAGACGACAATATCCTAAGAATCAATGGTCTAGAGTCATGATACCTGGGTATGTTATGTAGACCAACAGTGCAAATCTTTTTCTTAATTACAGTAATGAGGTCAAAGGTCAACTTTAAATGCTAGCCAGAGTTAAAGGTCAATGTGGGTTAAAAGTTTTAAAATTACAATTTCAAACAACAATATCTTAAGAAGCGTTTAAGAGATGTTTAAATGTTTGTTCTATTTTCCAAATTTGGTCTGAATTAAGTTACCTATATATCAGTTTCATGTAACAAAAGGAACAGGTGAGTGATACAGGCCCTCTGGGCCTCGTGTATATATATAGGATCTTACATGAGATAAATAATTTCCATTTCATATAAATTTCATATGAAATGAAAATGAGCGCAAGATCCTTTTATCACATAATCAAAATTTGTGGCATTTATTCGTGTAAAAGGACAATTTTCATGAACCCTTGAAATGTAAAAAGCCGCCTTTTTGACTCCATCGCGCAAGTCTGTGATGTCATGTTATCATCTTAGCTATAAGCGTGACGTCACAATTGAAACTTTGGCTGATAGGTCATATTACATGGGTTAATGTGCCAAAAAAAAATGACATGGGTATATTCACTGGATTACACAGTACATGTACGTACATTATGTGATAAATGATTTTGTGTCATGCCCTGTAAACCTCTAACACTGTTGGAGTAGCATACTAGGATGAAGGGCTATTCAGTTTGTTCAAGTGAATGACCTTGATCCGCTTCAACATTAAAAGGGAAATGTATTTGGAAGATGAGACATCAAATGAAAATCTACATTGTAGATGTGCAAGTTTGGCTGGATCAGAGAAATAGAGTAATTAAACCATTAAAGTCCTCACTTTGTTTGAGGGACTTAACTGAAGAACTGAAAGGCCTCAATTTGTGATTCAGTCATACTTTCCTTATTATGGTGAAATGCATTGCTACAGAGTTTGTAAAAACACTTGGCACTTAAAATCCGGTGAGCATCTTCATGATCAAGCCCCATTTATATTGCTCTGGTTAAAGTTGAAACCTTGATCTTGGAAAAATTAAGATAAACACAGGTACAGTACCTAGCGTATAAACAAGAAAACCAGCAAAACCAATGGACCGTTGCTCCCTGAAAAGGTCACCAAGATCGAAATAAAGTGTGACTTCAATGTGACCTGGACCTTCGAGCATACAGACCCAAAGTGGTATGTGACACACCTAATTTCCATTCTCCGTATATCCCTTAAATTTCATTGATCTAAACATTAGGGAATTCTGGCCCAGACAAATGTATTTGACCTTTGAACTCAATGTGACCTGTCATAATTGACCTTTGGCATACAGACCAAATTATTGTTTAAGACACACTCCATTCCCATTAGCCCTTAAATTTCACTGATCTATCTTCAGTGAGACCGAATTTATGGCCAGGACAATGAATTTTACCTCAACTTTGAGCATACAGAGCCTTTAGTGAGTTGGAAGTTATGACCAAGACAATGAGTTTGAACTTCGACCTCAATGTGACCTTGGATGTACAAACACTAGAGTGGTATGCGGCACAATGCCTTGCCATCCTACATATAAATCCCTTAAATTTCAGTGAATCAAAAGTTATGGCCCAGACAGACAAGTGACGGACAGAAAAAAGAGAGACTACTTGTTATATGCTATCAGAATTTTTTTTCAGGGAGCACAACAAAATAATTAATTCAGATTTAATGATAGAATAATATAAAAGTTAACCGATTAACAAAAAACAAAATGAAAGCACACAATTAAATGTTATTTATTTTTATTATTATTATTAACATCAACAACATATTGTATTGGGTAAAAACTATGGCACTTGTTCCTGCACAATGTATACATATACCGGTAGTTCATTCAAATCAACCACAAAGAATTTAATGACTTGCAGAGTGTCCATATCTAATCAAGTACATGTATGATCTGTGATTCTTTTTTTTCCAAGATAATATATGTTGTAATATATACTTAAAGCTGACAGTGCAAGTTATAAAGCTTTCAATTGAGATTTTAAAAAACCCAAATATGACAGGTAATGCACTTTTTATACCCAGCAAGACCCACACTCGTTACCAAGCAAGGAAAAAACTAAAATGTCAGCACTTCCTGGGATATGACAGTCGGAAGATATGGGGAAGATCTCAAAACCAGAAAAAAACTTTTTTTTTTTAATCTCAATTGAAAGCTTTATAACTTGCACTGTCAGCTTTAAGTGAACATTAAAAATAAATAATAAGTTGGTGGTTATATTTATACATGTAGTATCTTTATAAATGGAGCTAATTCTTTTAGTTTAGTAATGACAATAACCATTGACATTTTTTTCCAAATTTAGTTATACCAATTGTACGTTTGCATAGAGAATTGTACTTTTCCTCACTTCAAATCATTACATTGTGACGGCAAACACTGAACACATACATTTTGTATGTGGATATAATTGACAAAACAACATTACCTGTCATTGGAGTCACTGTTTGCCCGCATCTTAACTACCTCCAAATCTGCGATGCTCCTTACAAAATATTCTTGGCATCGTAATTCATAATTTACATAAAATTGCCCCTTTATTGGCCAATCAGAATTTGCTGCTCATAACTGCATTACCCGAGGGAATAAACACGCCCAAAACAAAATAACGATACATATTAGAAAAAATATGCTAGTTTGATTATATATTTTTTTATTTACAATTTTATAAGGAACAAGAATCAATTCATTGCGTGAGGTATTGATAAGTTTGAAATAACAAACTGTCACCTCTTTAAACCATGCATCTTTGAAATGGGTAACTAAACCCATCAAAAATATTTAATAAAAAACAAAAAACAACAGCATATAATTATATAATTTCATTCTCAGTAAAAAAATTAAAAAAATGAGAGAAATCTCCAATACATGATCAATAAGTTTGTATAAATTTGGAACAAAAAAATATGATAACAAGAAATCACAGCAAATAAAAACATTGGAAACTAAACAAACTGATCATTTACAGAAATAAGTAAGTATCTAAAACAAGAGGCCCAGGGGCCTTAATAGCTCACCTGGTATTTTNGCAAGGAAAACTTTTTTATACATGATTTCTAAGGAATATGTGCAAACTACTTTATTAATTTACAACGTAATATACATCATAATAAGGCACTTTATTGGAGTTCTGCAATAAAAATACAAATATACAAAAAAGAAAATCTTTCACACGAAAAAACTGGGGAAGGGTTCTAATCTCAGTGCCTTGATCATACAGGTTATTCAAATAAAAACCCTACCCCAACCCAGAAATTAAGGTTTGCTTTTGGATACAACCTGCAGAATTTAATTTGTTTTTTTATAGCGTTCCTTTGCCATGACAGGATATGAAATATGTGCATGCGCCCTGTGTAGAAAAAGGATCTCTGGCATGCTGTGAATTATGTTAAAACTTCAAAATGACTAACTGTTACGTACGATACAGCTCTAAGTTCAAAAGAATTAATCTGCCTACTTTAGTCCTCCGGGTCGGGAAGCTTTTTTACTGGAATAGTCCAAAATGGTCAGATCCAAGCAGATCATGCTCCAGATATTATGCAATATTTGTAAAATAAATAATTAAATTTGATAAAAGAAAGGATATTCATTAATTGTAAAAAAATATATGTTTAAATGAAATAATTTAAATGCAACATGATGACAACTGCTGTAAATATGATTAAGCTTTTTTTTCCATACAAAAGTTATTCATTTTTACTTACAGTATACTAATCTATAAATTTCTATATGAATCTGTTAAAATATATGTAACTGCAGAAAATAAACTAGTGTTAGTAATATGGTAATAAAATAATAAGGAATGTGACATTGGTTGTGGAATGCATGTCAATCTGTCTGATCAAGATTAAAAAATTATGTATAATAACAACAGAGTGAGGAGGGGTTAAAAAGATTCCCCCATCCCCTTTAATTCTCCACAAGTGGTCAAGTGACTAATGACTTTTTAACCTTGAGGTGAGCACTATACAGTGATAGGCCAGGGTGTGGTTGGGTACCGCTGATAACTTCTGCCACTTCTGAAGGTCGTTGAGAGGTGAGCACTATACAATGATAGGGTATGGTTTGGTACCGCTGATAACTTCTGCCACTTCTGAAGGTCGTTCAGAGGTGAGCACTATACAGTGATAGGGCATGGTTGGGTACCGCTGATAACTTCTGCCACTTCTGAAGGTCGTTCAGAGGTGAGCACTATACAATGATAGGGTGTGGTTGGGTCCCGCTGATAACTTCTGCCACTTCTGAAGGTCATTCAGAAGGGAGCACTATTTAGTGATAGGGTGCGGTTGGGTACGGCTGATGGTATAACTACCATCCCTACTGAATGTTGTGTTTGTGTAGAGGAAGGGTGAGGCTGGAAATGTGCTGAGAAATGAGTACAAGGCACATTCTTTGAAGGAGCAGGGTGTCACCCTCCAAGCATATCTGACCCCAGTGACATTCTTGGCTGGGCACGTTGCTGTACTGAGGATCACAGTGCTGGGAGTAATCCTGTTTATGGAGGTGTGGACCCACCATGACTGGTCGTCACACTCGGTCACATTACCATAGGAACAACAGATCTGTAAATGAAACACACAACAGAGTGATTTGTGAATGAATTCTCAATAATTTAAAAACATCACTAAAAACTCTATAATTCAGACTCTTGGTATTCATCTGGTTGTAATGTTTTCTGGCCCATTGACTATAATTTAAATGAACTAAATAAAGCTACAGGCTCAATATCATTACCTATAACTCTGAAAGGTCCTGTTAAAAGATTTAAACACATTGATCTATTTGACCTTCAAAGTCTAACAAGGTCATTCAGTTGAATGAACTTGGGTTGCTTTTCATCCTAGCAATTGCAAGCTACTGTTCAAATATCATGACCCTAAGCCTATTGGTTATTCAGAAGTTGCTTAAATATTTTAACATATTTGACCCCTGTGACCTAGCAAGTGGGTCAAGGTCATTCATTTAAATAAATAAAAAGCTGTAATACAGTTATTCACAAACTTTGTTTGGCTCCATCCCGAAAAAGCTACCAGTCAAATATCATGACTCCAGGCATTTGGTTATTCAGAAGAATTTGTTCGAAGTTTTTGAGATATTTGACCCATGTGACCTTGAATATCAGTCAAGGTCATTTTTTGTTGCACTCCATCAATGGAAGATACCAGTCTTATATCATGACATTGGACATTTTGGTACTACAGAAGAAGTTGGGTTTTTTTCATATTTGACTCCGGTGACCTTGAACATAGGTCTAGGTCATTGTGATTTGCAACCTTTGTTGGGGGCTTTTCCAGGAAGCTACCATCCAAATATCATGACTGTAGGTCTTACCATTCTATAGAGGCAGGTGAGCTAATAAAACCAAACCCAAATCCTGATTTTCAAGCCCTCTACACTTGTTAACAAGGACATTTAGTTAACTACCTCAGGGCAGTCATGGTATCTAGCTAGAGGCTTGTGAACTATTTCCGTCAAAGGCATTATCATTTCAAAGTTGCAGGGCCTGCAGTTACCTACCTCAAAGCCAACATTGTTTCTGAGCTGCAGGGCTTCTGAGCCATTGTTGTAAACAAGTTCCAGTGTTCTGGGCTCAGTGTCCACCTTGTAGCCAGTGGGCAGTGGGGCCTGGTAAACGATATCCGTGTGGTGATAGGCCACTGCCAAACTGGCATTGACCAATCGTCTCGCTACATCCTGTTTGTCGCCAGGGTGGATGCTGAAGGCAAGAAGTAACATTCTATGTAATTTGTGCATTCCCAAAAATTTCAGAAACAAAATCAGCAAAGAATGGGTAAACAGTCGGGCGTGATTGATTGTATCTTTAAAACCTTCTTTTTCTGTACTAACTTACCAAAACTAATAGAGATTTAATTTAAGTGAAAACTTATCTTAGATGTAGCTAGCTGCGTATATGACCTACAAGATTTTATAAGGCACTTTAAAATCATTCACATGTGTTAACAAGACATTCCATTACAATGTTTTAGCACATTTTTGATTTGTTGTTTTGCTTTCCAAGTATACATACATTAAAGGGAAAAATACAATAACATGTTCTAAATGTAGACGGGGGCTTGTCCAACGTATATAGCTCTTTCACTCAATATACACATATAATAGATACAGATTGTTTTATAATTATTTTATAGCACATGAATTAACATGAATAAACACATGTTTTAACACATTCTTGCCACTTAAGCCAATTAACAGAATATTTACAGTAAGCATAGTATAGCTGACTGTTGATATCCTCACTACAATGATTATGATGTCACCATGGTAACTGAGGATTCCACTGAAATGTGGTTCCAGATGGCTATATATTCTATTTTGAAATATACACACAATAATAATGATGTCATTTTAGTTTTATATTTTGTAATTACCTTCCTACACTGTTCAGAAAGTCCGGCAAATCCATTGCATTGGCCATGAATGTATTGACCATCTTGCTGTTTGGTACATAGCCAAAGTCTGCTGTCTGATGCCATCGAATCTCGGGAAAGCCATCAAACTTAGTCATGTCTGCCTCATTGGCACCAAGCTGTAGGCAAGTTTGAAAAATATATATATTTTAAGAAACATTTATGGTATGATTTGATTTTTCATTTTTAATGCTCAAATATAGTACTTGACCATACTAATGTACTGTTACTATACATTAAATAATTTTGATTCGAATGATGTGTAAAAATTATGCAAATGTAATTTTAAAATGATGCAAATGTAATTTCAATTATTCTTTCATACATGATCAGTTGTCAGTGGTTGTGATATATATTTTAACATTATACAAATATAAATAATGTCCATTGTGGTTTCATGTCTGTAGTTTTCTTTTTATTCACAAATGAAATTTCATCGTATATCATAAAAACAGAAAAGGTGGGGTCCATTTTTGGCCCACATAGTCTGTCTGGTAACTTTTTGCAAAATATAAAAAAAAAATGCTTTGCAGGCGACCATTTTTAGCATTAGAGTGGACCCTACCTTTCTACATGTATTGAACAATTGGAACAATTGGAAAGTCTTGGTGATTCTATCCATGGTTCCTACCATTACAAAGCCAAAAGGAAAGGTTGGGTCATTACATCCATGGTTCCTACCATTACAAAACCAAAAGGAAAGGTTGGGTCATTATATCCATGGTACCTACCATTACAAAACCAAAAGGAAAGGTTGGGTCATTATATCCATGGTACCTACCATTACAAAACCAAAAGGAAAGGATGGATCATTACATCCATGGTTCCTACCATTACAAAACCAAAAGGAAAGGATGGATCATTATATCCATGGTTCCTACCATTACAAAGCCAAAAGGAAAGGATGGATCATTATATCCGAAGTACCTAGCTACCATTACAAAACCAAAAGGAAAGGATGGATCATTACATCCATGGTACCTACCATTACAAAGCCAAAAGGAAAGGATGGATCATTATATCCATGGTTCCTACCATTACAAAACCAAAAGGAAAGGTTGGGTCATTATATCCGAAGTACCTAGCTACCATTACAAAACCAAAAGGAAAGGATGGATCATTACATCCATGGTACCTACCATTACAAAACCAAAAGGAAAGGATGGATCATTCTGTCCATGTGACGAGTGGAACTTGGCTCTCCAGTCACTGATCATGGACGGGAAGGTACAGTTGTAGTTATGAGGACTTGGGGCGTTTGATTCTCCTGATTAAACAGAGATATACATGATATACGGTGTAGGCACTCTTACACATGTTATAAAATGATTCAGCTACAAAACTAAAAACAGAATATAAAGAAATATGATTGGCAAAACCAAAAAACCTGTCACTTGATTGAAACAAATTCAGTTCTGGAGAATTATCACTTCTGAAAATGTATTTCAATAAATGATCATGTTGGTACCCTGGTACCAAACAGCTCCATATATGGTCATGTTAAGACGAATAATCAATAAATTGCATCTACATATCATGGTACATGTACAACACAGCTCCATATATGGCTTAGGTTGTCATACTCTGTTACCATACAACTCCATATATGGTCATGTTACTCAGTAAATGTATAAGGTCTTCATACCTTGGTACCTAACTCCATATATGGTCTTTTTTCTCAGTACATGTATTAGGGTTATTAATCTTGGTACCAGATAACTCCATATATGGTCATGTTACTCAGTAAATGTAT